CAAAGCACATTTAGCAGAAACATTTAATATGCTGTCCATTTATATAATGAGAATGGCTCTGTCTTTCAATCGGATGTTTATATCTTTTATTAAATAACATATATATCTGTTTTTTAACAAAAACCTTTTCATTATTGGGTATCCTAACGCTGTTCCTTTGTTTAGGCACGTTTTAAAGAATGCAGATTGTTTATGGCAAACCTTTATAACGCGAAAGTTTATGGCAAACCTTTATAATGCGAAAGCATATTATAGAATTTTTATACACCGTATGAAAATAAAAAACAACAAAAACAATCTGATACTCACTTATGACAGCGATAGCAACAAAAGCACCATGACCACTTCCGCCTATTATGAACTGTAGGACAGCGAACGAATAGAATTCTGGGGTGAAGGTCACAGACACGGATGATATCAGTAAAAACACCAGGGCTATATACATACTCTTATGACGACCGAGTCTATACCAGAAAATACAACAAATATATCTCATGCACATAAAATTTAATCTAAGCTAATACAAACAGTTAAGTCAACAACATCTATGATTAGAATGTAAATTGGTATGGTAAATCTATAATATAGTCAAAAGTTTGACTATTCTAGTTTATTTTAGTCACAAGACTTGACTAACCAGTTCTATATTAAGACCATATGCAGACTGGAACCTATACAGACTCGAACATATACAAACTCGAACATATACAAACTCGAACCTTTACAGACTCGAACTTATATAGACAGGAACCTAAACCCACTCAACCCTACGATTCCAGACTTTGCGTGACAGACGCTGAAACCGGCAAAAAATCTCTTACTAGTCCTAGAGCTACACTTTTGGAAATCTTTCATGTAATGTAGGTACTGCATTGTCAAGGTGTGACCATCAATAGTTGGTTAAAATATTAATGTTCATTTATATTCAGTGTACATCAAAGATTTGATACTGATGCAATTCAAATTGTGTTGTTGTTGTTTTTTAATCTTGTTCACAAATACATAAATTATCAAGTAAATATTTGTAGCATATCTGTCGTGGCCCTAATGAATGTGAATGTGAACTAAAGACGTTATAGTTTACATAGCAAAATGACTTACGAATCTGACAGCATACCGAGTATTAAGTCACCAACTAACAGGCCAAAATAGAAAAACATCATAATGTGGGATGTTTTCAACGAATCCCTGCATACTAAATTTATCTGAAAGAAAAAGGGGAGTAAAAGAGTAAAATAAGATTTATCGTAATTATAATGTTGATAATACTTTTAACAGTTACCAAATTTGTGGTATTTTTCTTTTATATGTATTTGATCAAAGATAGATAGAACTTCTGTTCTATTCTGTTCTATAGGATTTATCATCATTATAATGTTGAGCAACATTTTACAATGATTTGTGGCGGGGGGATTTTTGCTGTTGTTGTTGCTGATGATGTTGATTTCCTGAATGGAGAAGTTATACCCGTATAGGTTACAGTGCATGCTGTGAATCAGGCCCCCTATAACATAACAAGTAATGATGTCTTTATAATAGACATACTGAAAATTCAGAATTTTCATATTATTTCTTCTCTCAGTTTTTCCAGAATGATAATTTTATTGTGCAAAAATACCCGAAATATACAAAAGATATAAACATTTCCTTTCAATTAAATGGGGAAAATTAAATGTCACTTTATCATAATATCATGAAATTATAAAATCTGTTCTCATTTGATGATAAAAAATATACAATATCATGAAATATAGAACATTATTCCGAATAGCTTTTTATGCTCACATTTAATCAAAATTTATTTCTAAAACGTGACAGCCACGTGTCGGTTACGTTGTACTTCACTAGCTCGCGAGTTTATATTTAATCAAATATTGATAATAATCAAGTATCAACATCTATGACATTTTATCAGTTTTCTTTAATGATTTTAGCAGGAAAAGGGACTCGATACATGATAAAGATCCTTCTTAATCAGGTTACTAGGTCAGCTTTTTTATCTTTTAGATATTTTAAGTACCAGTGACCTTAATCTCTCAGTTTTCATTTTTTGTCAAATCAGACACTAAACAAAGTTGAGAAGTTCAACTCTATTCGCGAGATATTTGAGGGTCTCTTCAAAACAGAAGTTGTCGCTACTATAGACGGAACGTTTGTTACAAACAGATTGCCGACATTGAATATGTTAATGTCTTAAAACTTTGGATATCATATCACACTTACACCATCATATGTTTAATATCATATCAAATTTAATAAAAGTCACGTAATCATATCACCCGTTTTAACTATATTATCTTATCATATGAATTCAACGGCCATAGCGTAATAAAAACGTAATCGGGAAGGTGGTACCTTTTGGTTTCCGTAGATTCCATATTGAATTTTATGTCTAAATATGTATGTGACCCTGACATTAAAATTTAAACATGATATTACACTGGATGATGATACGTGAGTGATGTCAGCGCATTTTGATTAAAAACAAGTTTTGGTGCGAATGCGGCAAAAGTTGAAAATGTGAGTTCTTTCGCGCACACATGTTTCTGAGCAGGGAGAGAGACGGACCAAATATATGCATGCACGAGACATCTTAACATGGCCTCTTCTTACATTTTTCTTTTTTTTTTCTTTCTTTCTATTTTTTTTTAAGTTGGACTCACAAACTGTACATTGCCATGAAACACTGCGTATGACATATTAACATGATACAATTTAATATTGCAATTAATATAAGATTCACGTTTAACATCACAACATGTTGAAACAATCATGGAAACATGGAAACATTACGTTAAGTTATGTCACGTCTTCCTAAATATCATTATCCCGTTAAATGTTATAAGAAAAAAAGTGAATTTTAACAAGTCTTTTTTATTAAATGACCAAAAATAACAGATAAAATGCTAAGATGAAAACATAATGTACTTAAAACTGAAAGCTAAATAATTGCTCAAAAAATGATGATAAAATTTCATCATTATGGCCTGCAAAGTATTTGCGAGTAACTCGTATGATTTGGACAGCGTTCAAATACCTGATCTAGCATAAATTTATTACAACTGCGTCTAAATAACTTTTGTTTATTTGTGTAGGTCAGTAATTATGGTGGTTAGGATTTTTCAGCCTCTTTAATCAATTATCGACTTTTGTTTTCTTTAACGAGTGTCAGCACTAAGAGCATATTAGTATTACTTCAAACATTATTTGTATAACCTATGTTTAATGTACTTTTGCCTCTTTGCACCGATAAATTTTCTTATAATTTATGGCACTCTATTGTATTACATTTTGTTATCAGTTTTGTGAATGATTACCTGAGATGTAAACGTACTTGTAAACACACTTTTATCATAAACCCACTCCGTGCACATCACGCGACTCGCATTTGCCGCGTGAAATGAACTTCCGTCTGTGACGTAAACATTGCACCTGTCGTAAGGTTGCGTCGGGTCACTAGAGAGTGGTATGGTCTCATTGATAAGACGCCGATGATAGTCATTTTGAATTGCAAAACTGTCGTTTGAGAGGGACGGTATTTTACATCTGAAATATAAATGAATTAATAATGGCCACAGTGAAATAAGATCCCAAGAATTACCTCCCTGGATCGGTTTGAACTATCAGTCACGCTGTCTGAAATACGACTGTCTGTGTTGATTTTATATCTTTAAGGATAAAAAAATAACAATGTGTAACTATTATAAAAAACAAACAACACAAATGCAAATTTATACAAAAAAAGAATTATAGTTCTTTAGCAATATATTTCCACAAGCGGGTGAATTCTCTAACGTTTCTACAGAGTTGCTCTCGACAAAATTAAAAGTAAAAATTACAAGGGGCAATTACTCCAGAATTATATATCAGAAAGTTATGGTTCAAAATCCGTGCGCTTCTACATAGCAAAATCAATTTACCTGTGAAATTTCAAAATGATGTTTCCAATACTTTTTGCATTATACCCCAGACAAAACTTAAGACAGAAACATAACTAGGAGCAATGACTATACAAAGGAGAGTTTATGCACTTCTCCTGATTTATGCTCTGTAACACAGCACTTTGGGGTTACAGTGCTCTATCCATCTGGGTACCTCCTTTACAGTTTACTTAGGGTAAGTAGAAAAAATACAAAGGGTAATATTTAAAAGAGAACTTTGGTCCTTGAACATTGCACTTTACTTTATGTGATCTATTTATCATTGAAGTTATAAACTGATACATCATAGTCTTTTTTTTTAGCTATTTAGCTATGCCCAAATAAAAAATAAATTTAGAAATATGTAAAGGGCAGTGGCTCTAAATCTATACCTTTGAGAATTATAGTTACGCTTTGCACTTTTCCAAATAAAATATTTTCAAATTAAATTCGCGTTAATATCTCCAATTCTCCTAGAGGTAAGTCCCGGACAGAAAATAAACAAATTCTAAGAGGAATAACTTCAAAGATTTCAAGATAAAGTTATGATTCATGCCCTTTATCTCAATGAGATGTGACCACATACGAAGTTTTAGGATTGTTACCGTAATAACTGATATATTTTTATAAAATTAAACTCCAGTCAAAGCGTAACAGAGGTGCCAACCTTTTGGATTTATGGACTTTTTCTTTGATCTTTATTGGCATATTTCAAAATTTTCTCGACCGAACTCAAACAAATGTCTGAATATTTTTTATTCTAATGAAATACAACACTATGGGTTTCATTTTTCTTTTTACATAAAGAAGTTTCTTTATAAAGGGTTCAGCCAGTGAAATAAGTAACAAAACAAATTTTGTGAGTCGTGAAATGGTAAACTATAGTAACAGTTGTGACATAAATTATTCGGTGCGCAACTTCTTTTATTTTGTTTACGATTAAAATCGAACAAACTGTGTTTTTATATTCAAATCTACATAATGTTACATAAACATTTTACACATATAAACATAAATGATAAAACACATGGTTGTGAAACTATATTTTTTGATGCAGATCATCTATTTTTATATTTTAAAAAATCCTTATTGACAACAATGTTTCTATTTTGTATTGTATTTGACCTTTAACATGAAGGTCACGCTTGGGTCCTGTGTAAAATTCAACTTAATAATCAAAATATTATGTCTAGATTAAGTTACATGTTATAAGGGCACTATTTGCGCATGCTTTTGAATAAATCAAGCTACATTTACCAATGGATTTGAACGTCAGGTTAGTTGCTTTCCTGTGAATACATTTGCCTACTACATGAAATTAAACTTTCTTCATAAGACTTGTTTGTTGCACTCTTATATTTCGTTGAAAGTTAAAAATAAATAATAAAACAATGTCTCTTGAACAACACAGAAATAATAAAACAGACATAATACCTGTTACTGCATGAGTATAATGTGAAAAATTGGTTGTTTCTATTGAAAGCCTTCTGTTACAAGTTCAAACTGCTATGAAACTATAAGAAACCCTTCAATATTCATCAAACTTGGCACAATGTTTACTGCATAACAGCATGCTCAATTTTAAATTTCTTGTTAGCATGACAACGAGGGGACATCTCAAAATTGCACAAAATCACTGTTTTGCGTTGATTTTTTCCATCAAACTTATTTCAAAGAGTGCTGCGACTTCTTAAGTCAAAGACTTTTCAGCGTTGGTTACACTTTACGTTAAGATCGTCGTTAAGCCGTTTTAGCCCCTCACTAATCCAAAGTTTTCTTAGCGGTGAGGGGTCTGCAAACCCCTTCAAACCCCAAACAGAAGGGGGCACAACCCCTCATGTACCCTTTTATAGGGGCGGCGCCGAAAAGTGATCACATTTTAACAACATTTCTCAAAACGAAAACAAGTGTTTGGGGCCAAAATAGGGCATTTTTCATGCCTCAAATATCGGGGTGGGGTGAAAAGTATATATATTATGGTAAAGATTAACACATTTCTGATTGGTTACTTACAGTCATTTTGTATTTATATCAAACACTTTTAGATTTTTTTTTACATTCAAATAATATAATATCATTTCTCACATAAAGTTCGCACTGATAAATTCATGTATTGTATATCAGAACATATATTTCAGACGAATCATGCGGACGAAAATATTTCACATTCTCCGTTGATTATTCCCGACAATTTATACGTTTTTTCCAAGATCAATATTCAATTTGTATGACAGTGAAATATAATTTGGATATTAAATTAACAAGATACATGATTCTCGTGCTAAATGTAATAACTATAGCCTCGTAATGTCATGTTTTCCCTTACACGCAATATGAGGTATGCATTAAACACCTCTGGAGCATGCAATGGTATCATAAGTATTTGATTACATGGTCCCATGTGTTACAGTGCATCGTCAAAAGTAAAGTACTGTAATTACATTTGTGCCGCTGTAGTTACATGTGTCCCGGTGTAAATGGTATGACAGTACTAGCAAAGGAGTCACCAGAAAAGAAATGATTTGGTTACCTGTGTTCCAGAGTAAAAAGTTTGACTGTACTTGTAAAGGTTCCATTGATAAAGTATTGAACTTGTTGCCTGTGTATCGGTGTATAAACAATGGAAATGCTTGTAGAGGTGACAATTATAGATATTCTTACCGGTAACCTGTGTTCCAGTGTAAACATTATGGCAGTGCAGTATTAAACTATTAGTTATAATATAATTGTAGAAATAACAAGGATGTCCTTTGAAGTACTTAACTAGTAACCAGAGTTCTGGTGCAAACAATACTATAGTGTTTGTAACCATGTCATGAATAAGTATTGAACAAGTTATACTCTGGTCCGGTGTATACAAAATAATAGTGTTTGCCATCATGTCATAAATAAGTATTGAACAAGTTACTGTGTTCCGGTGTATACAAAATAATAGTGTTTGCTATCATGTCATAAATAAGTATTGAACAAGTTACTGTGTTCCGGTGTATACAAAATAATAGTGTTTGCTATCATGTCATAAATAAGTATTGAACAAGTTACTGTGTTCCGGTGTATACAAAATAATAGTGTTTTGCTATCATGTCATAAATAAGTATTGAACAAGTTACTGTGTTCCGGTGTATACAAAATAATAGTGTTTGCTATCATGTCATAAATAAGTATTGAACAAGTTACTGTGTTCCGGTGTATACAAAATAATAGTGTTTGCTATCATGTCATAAATAAGTATTGAACAAGTTACTGTGTTCCGGTGTATACAAAATAATAGTGTTTGCTATCATGTCATAAATAAGTATTGAACAAGTTACTGTGTTCCGGTGTATACAAAATAATAGTGTTTGCTATCATGTCATAAATAAGTATTGAACAAGTTACTGTGTTCCGGTGTATACAAAATAATAGTGTTTGCTATCATGTCATAAATAAGTATTGAACAAGTTACTGTGTTCCGGTGTATACAAAATAATAGTGTTTGCTATCATGTCATAAATAAGTATTGAACAAGTTACTGTGTTCCGGTGTATACAAAATAATAGTGTTTGTAGCGGTGTTTTTGGTAAGTATAGATTGGGGTATATGTGCTCCGGTGTATACAATATGATCGTATTGTAACGGTGTCATAAGTAAGTTTTGAACTGGTTACCTCTCTTCTGGTGAATATAATATGTCATTGTTTGTAACGGTGTCTTTATAAGGATTGAACTAATTATCTGTGTTTCGGTGTACTCGTATACAATATAATAGTTTAGTAGTAAATAAACTTGTTACATGCGTCCCGGTGTATATAATATTACAATATTTGTAACGATGTCATTAGTTAAGTATTGAACTGGTTACCACACATCCTGTGTATACTGTATACAATGTAGCAGTGTTTATAACGGTGTTATAAGTAAAGTATTGAACTGGTTACCTGTGTTCCGGTGTATACAGTATAGCAGTGTGTGTAGTAATGAACTGGTTACCTGTGTTTCGGTGTATACAGTATAGCAGTATGTGTAGTTATAAACTGGTTACCTGTGTTTCGGTGTATACAGTATAGCAGTGTTTATAACGGTGTTATAAGAAAATTTATAAACTGGTTACCTGTGTTCCGGTGTATACAGTATAGCAGTGTTTGTGGTATATTGAACTGGTTACCTGTGTTCCGGTGTATACAGAATGACAATAAGCATCATACAGAAACTCCCCACACTGACGCACGGAAACGCTAATAGCGTGTACACTATTTTCTGGTATTTTCCAAATTCTCCAATCTGCGTTAAAATTTCGTCAAACTTCATCTTTGACGATATATCTATTTCACTTTCTAACACGTGTGAAGTGTTTTATCAAGTATGTTGTCAGTTAACAATATGAGATGTTATCATTACATCTACTAGCTAATTAATATTCATGAGCATGTAAAAACAACAGTCACGACGGGCTGGAAAGATGTTTAAAGTAGTTTAGTCAAATGCAAATCATTATTTATTAGTCTCTTTATCCTCATTGATATAAGTAGGTGTGACCATTCTTGATGAGATATTAAAGCTATATCAATGCCATCTTTATTTTCAAGAGTCATTGGTTTTCCTTAAAGCTTTTGTTAAATTGTTCATGACACTATAAACTTGATATTCAAGGAGATAATTACAATAGTTCAAGATACAATTAGCTTCAATAGGGTCAAGATATTGAGAGCTTTGTTTATATTTGTGCTCTTCATATATCGTATGTAAATAATCGTAACTGACCATTTGTGACCTTATCTTAACTGACCTCACACGAATGAATGGAATACATTGATTTGTCCGTGACATTTGTCCATTGCATTTATTATACGTAGTAATGACATTATTTTTAATCATTAGTTATACTGATACCTTTGTTTCGCCTGCTACAGTTTCGGCGAAATAGGGATTACTTCTCCATCGTCTGTTCATGGTCACAAATCTTGTCTTGATCACACCTCAAACTACTGGTACAATTTCATCTAAACTTTACAGGAATCAATTATCAGTACCATGTATAGTTGTGATTATCGTCGGCATTTTCAAGTTCTTTGATTTTTTGTAAGAGTTACGACCCCTTAATGTTTATTTTTTTAAAGTTTGTCTTACTTTTTATGCAGTTTCAATGAAAATTTACAGGATCGATCGGTACCTTAAGCACTTACGCATATGTAACGAGTTTTTCTTTTGAAAGATTTTTGGTTAAGTTATGGCCCTTGAAAATATAAGGGGTTTTGGCCTGTTGTTGGTTTTTGTGCCGACTGCTACACAGTAGCTGTAGCATACTTCAAAGTGGCCGCAACATATAGAAAAAACTATCTTATCACCCCTCAATACCTGTTTAATTGTCAATTATCAGGCGACACACTGATCATAATTGTTGTAATTAAAAGGAATTGTTTTAAGTGATAATGACATGTTTAAGGTGCCGTGGCATTACTTCTAGTCATAGTGATATTCTCTTAAACAAACAGATATTGTGTTGGTCGAAAATACATTGTTTTAGTCAACGTTATTATTTGAAGTGATATTTTAAGTAACATTAATAAGGCTTTAAAAATTGTGATGACGATGATTGTTTTTGGTCATTCTGTCATTGTTTAAGTCGAAATGACATTGTTAACGTCATTGTGGCATTGCTTGTTTAAGTCACTGTGCCTATGACACTTTATTAAGATGTATGTGTTTCGAAACAAACATGTCGTATTTCGGTAGGTGAACTAAATTTAAACACCAACATCCACGCAGTCGGTAAACAAATCTGGACTCGGAAGCATTAATCACATCAAAATTACAAGAAAATTCCAGACTAGGTTTGATTGAGTCTGTACATGATAAGGCAATTTTTTTATAAATACTTGACTAATATGCAAAAATTTATAAGAATTATAAACTTTATATCAATTGATAAAATCATATACATGTATATATTAGCCACTTTTTGAACATCATAAACTAAGGGTACCTGATAAGTTTTGATACTATTCTTATTATTATTTTGGACAATATTTAAAAACTCAGATCTTGACGTGAAAAAATAAACTCAGTAAGTTCTTAACGTAAAATAAACTGTTAATGATCACTAAAAATGTAATAAAATCTGAATGCAAGAAGTATTGTTAAACAAAACATAAATGTCTGAGCAATTTAACTAGAAAGTTAAAGAACTGTTCTGTATTTTAGAATTATCTTTTACATTTTATTTCATAATGGTTAGAACTATCCTTTACATTTTGTTAAGAACTATCCTTGACATTTTATTTCAGAATGACCAATGAGACTCCCAGAATTAATTTAGTTTTTTTTAAATGACCAATGAAAACTCTTCTTATATTCGGTTCTTCACAGGAAATCAAACAGAAAACAGACCGGCCTTTGCCCGGAATGCGATAGATCCCGAGATATTAAACCCACGCAGATCATTGCCGTGCGTTCACAAAAAGAATATACATTGACCAGATAGCACCTGACAGGTAGCCCATCTCTATAGGTACTATGCCATATGGTAAGGCTGTTACAAATGGATGTTAAATAATTTACGTATACAATTGCTGTAAGAACATACTGTAAAGGATACAATTTAGAAGTCTATAAAAATAAATATGTATGCAATGAATATTGTGTACCTTGCATATTGAATATTTGGCACTAATAAAACTATAAACCATACTAGATAAAACATTTTAATGACACAAATAAACATACAACTTATAAACAATAACTGCATTTACTGTTTTAATTTTTATATCCGAACAAAAATGAAAAACTTATCTTTACATGATATACAATACATGAATACGAGATCATTCTCGGTGTTCATTCGAATCACCTCGCCATTTACTCTTAATAATCTCGGAAAGAATATGAAACTTAAGTAGTTGTACCACGTGACTTTGACGAAACAATTCTTTTATGTTTTCTTTTGAAACGTTACGTTAAGTACTTTCAATTAATACATGTATTAGTTGAAAATTGAAAAATATTTTAATTTATATATTTCGTTCACAACATATCCTTCCTTTTTGATGTTAATGGTATCGCAACTTCTTTTTCTTTTGGTTGCATTTTTCTGGAAAAAAATGATAATATGAATATCAGCTGTAAATTGAACATAAAAAACAACCGATTTTTATATACAGTAAACATATAAAATTGTCGCTGTATTGAAGATATGCCAGGTGTTGTTGCCACTTTTTAACAAGTGTTGAAATTTTACATAAATGTAAACAAGAGGGCTATGTTGCTCACCTAAATACAAATAATCTTAATGACAATGAACAATCAATATTGTAAACTAATTATAAAAGCGAAAGCAGATACAAAATCTAAATCTTGAACTATATCATAAATATCATATTTGTATCTAAAATAAAGCATGTGTAAAAACATTACTGGTTGCTTTTACAAAGGGAAAACAAAAGTAACTAAAGAAGTCACTGGTTGTAATCAGTGGTTTCCTTGGAAGTCACTTAATGCTATGAAATGCAATGGTAGATTCGGTCGTTGCTAAGAAAAGTAAATGAAGTCACTGGTTGCCATGTAAAAAAGTTAATGATTGCTATGTAAATCACTGGTTGCTATGGAAATTTACGGTTTGCTATAAAAAAAAGTCAATGGCTGCTATGATGTCATTGGTTGCTATAGAAGTCAATGGTTGTTATGGAAAGCAAGCAGTTGATATGGAAAGTCAATGGTTCTTATGGAAAGTAAATGGTTGCTATGGAAAGTCAATGGTTGCTATGAGAGTCACTTATTGCTATTTGAAGTCACTGTTTGCTATGGTTGCTGTAGAATGCTTTAGAAGTCTATGGTTGCTATTGAAATTCAGTGGTTGCTTAGAAAGGCAATGGTGGCTATGGAAAGTCAATGGTTGCAATAAAGGTCATTGGTTGCTATGGAAAGTCAATGGTGCTATGACAAGACAAGTAACTGGATGTTATGGAAAATCTTTGGCATGTGAGTAACTGGTTGCTATGGGTGTCGCTGGTTACTATGGAAGTATATGGTTGCTATAAAAAGTCACTGGTTGCTGTGGAAATCAATGGTTGCTATAGAAAGTCACTGGTTGCTATGAAAGTCACTAGTTGCTATGGAAAGTCAATTAGGAAGGCAATGGTGTCTAAAGAAATTCAATGGTTGCGGCAAAGGTCACTGGTTGCTATGTAAAGTCAATGGTGCTATGACACGTAACTGGATGTTATGGAAAGTCCGTGCTATGTGAGTAACTGGTTGCTATGGGAAGTCGCTGGTTGTTATGGAAGCATATGGTTGCTATGGAAAGTCACTGCTTGCTGTTGAAATCAATGGTTGCTATGGAAAGTCACTGTTTGCTATGAATGTCACTGGTTGCTATGGGAAGTCAATGATTGCTATAGAAGTCAATGGTTGCTATGATAGTCAGTGGTTGCTATGGGAAGTCACTTGTTGCCATGGAAGTATTTGGTTTCAATGTAAAGTTACCTGTTGTCATGAAAGTCAGTGGTTGCTAAGGAAAGTCATTGGTTTCTTTGGAAAGTTAGTGGTTGCTATGCAAAGTCATGTTTGCCAAGGAAAGGTACTGGTTGCTATGAAAAAATAATGGTTGCTATGGAAATTTAATATTTCAGCCCACGGCTTTAATTTGAAGAAACTTGGTAGACAACCATTGGAATGTGTTTCATGCTAAATATTTAAGCTCTTTCGGTTTTTAAAAGATATTTAAGTTTTTTCTTTCGGCTGCATGGCAACCAGAGTTCTGCATGGAATTAAATTCTTTGAACAACTTTCAAAGGTGACCACCCATGGAACATTCCTGTGAAGTTGGAATGAAATCGGCTTGCGGTTTATGAGTAGGTGTCGTTTAAAGTAAAAGTTAAAAGACGGAAGGACGGACTCCGGACGAATTGTCACTTTGTGAAAGGTGAGCTAAAAGGAAAATATACATTTATATGTCACTAGCGGAACACGAAGATTACAATGTTTAGTCACGTTTTGTAATGTATAAATATCACAGCTGTTTCTCACGGGCAAAATATTATTATGTAAACTATTTTACGCTCTTTTAAATGGTTTTATCTGTGGTTTCAACGAGTCAACTTCCTATTTTTAAGAAAGATTCAAGACAAGCGATCGGAAGTAGCAGGTGCTTTTATTGCGTGACATGGTGCACATTTACTCGAACAAGCTTGCAAGACATACACGAACTTCTTGAACTGTGATTATATATAGTTATCATTTTCTGTCGCCTAATGTCACAAACTCGTTCATGAGATACTCAGTCATGCATGATGAGAGCTTGTTAAAAAATTGACATTTTGAAAAGGATACCTTCCAAATTGTTCCCCTTCAGCTATTGTGTCTGGAAGTATTTGTCTGTGTGTTTCAGGCAACAGCAACAGTAACAAACCGGCGCTAATTGATAGAGCACCAAATATAACCAATGGTTCTATAGTTCCAAATTTTCCTCCTATCATTTCACCCTGTGTTTAAAGAAACATATTTGAAATGGCGGAACAAAGGGAAGTAATGGAAACTATAATCATTTACCAATAGAGACGTATTTCAATTGTTGGTCACAATAAGGTGAAATATTAATGATTCATAATGTCAATACGACAGTATTTAAATAACGTTTTCTACTTAAATGTTGTAACAAATATTGTCCTCATTCTTGGAAACATCATTAATATGTTGTTTTTTTAACTTCTGTGAATGTATTGCAGCAACAATTAATAAAGAGATTTATTAATCAATGTTTATATTATGACGACAACTGCCGCAGTATTGTTGATTGTGGTTCAGGGATGGTTTAAATCAGCTAAGGTTTACTTATAATACTGAAACATTAAACAGTTTATCAAGTCAGATCGTTCAAATATTCTTAAATTCCTAAAGTTAAAATTTTAGCATGTCACGCAAATGTTGAATTTTGCTTATACCGGGTTTCCGGTAGCTCAAAGGTAAGCTGTTTTTGATGATGTCATTTCCTACATATACGTGATGACGTGACACCGAGCAACAAGTCTTATTTCTGCCAAACTATGTCTAAAAGCAAAATTTGTAGAAACAAAATAAGTCAGTCTTACATGTATGCATGTCTATTACTTACATACTTACAGATTTAGCTATATATGGCGCCAACATGGCTCCAACACGAGCTGCGCATGAGCAGAGACCCACTGCAGCGTTCCTAAGTACAGTTGGAGATAACTCTGCTGTGAACATATAAATTATGCCAAATGCAGATGCTGAGGCCGCCTTGCCTATCAACGCTAAAGTGATGGTTAATGGTTGGAGTTCTGAAAAGAAATCGAAAAAAAAAACACTTATAAAATTATAATCTGATTCGTCGTAGAACATTGTTTAATTAAGAGGATATTGCAATGTTGATAAATACAGAAATCTGACTATTCGTAGGTCAAATAATGAGGGGAAAAAACAATACAAATAACGATTCCTCCATATATTTTTTCGAAAGCATTTGATTTGATTATTTTACTCCTTAAGTCACTCAATCTATATGTAATCCACAGCCGTATATTCAGTATTTCTCAAGTCATTTTCGGGGGTGAAGGGGAGGTTGAATGTGGGATAAGAAAGTGAACATATAATCTTTAGATATTGAAACATTTATAGTACTAGTATCATACATTTTGTTGTCTACTTGCAATGTCTTAGCAAATTTATCTAACGTCTTAAATGTCTTCTAGTTTTCCTTATTTTTCCCCCAAACATGTCTTTGTCATGGTCGAAAAAAGGTCTAGTTTTGTTTTTCATGCCAAAACTTAATTTTTGCCATTTCTCAGTGGTCTGTCCACCTAACTTTCTTTCCTGGATAACTAACCAGTAATTACTGACAAAAAAGGATCGAACCAGTCCCGCTTGGATTACAAAATCGACCTTATTGAGCTCAGAGGACGAAAATTACAACCCCGATGCTCTCCCTATTCAGTTAAGCTGACGGATATTAGTTCCAAAATTTTTTAATCTCCATATGAAAATAAGCGAAAAAGTTATGTAGATGAATTAAAGTTATTAAACAGATTTACCATCTCCTCCGAGTAAAACAACTGGTATAGTAGCTAAACAAGCCACGTCTCCTAATATCATACTCCCAGCATTCGACCACCGTCTGCCCAGCCGGTCTAATATAAACATTCCTACTAGGATACCTGGTAATTCAGCAAAACCCATCAGGAAGAAATTCAAAAAGAAGCTGCCGCCCATATTTCCAGCGTTCATTGTGATGCCATAATACGTCATACTGACAATCATCCTAAAACGTCATGAAAACAAATGTGATGACATAATAACATAAGGACGCCCTAGTTGAGAATGTATTATCATCATCATGAGGAAAAATCCTTAACGTCATATATTCTTTCTTTTAATTGATATACATGTGTTTACTTTTAAAAGATATTTTTTATTTTGGTCCCTGAAATTATAAAAACTAATGAAATTTTGATACCTTTTAATACATTTTTATGATCGCAATGGTAAACAAATATATGTTTTCTACGTCAATGGTAATATAATAACGTCTTTTGACGTTATTTTCAAAAATGACGTTTATGGACGTATTGCCATGCATTCGGTGATGGGGAATGTGAAGAATGTTCATGTTCGCTGTTCAATTGGGTTACATAATGTACGCTCATGAATTAAAATGCCCCAAGTGTAAGATTCACTTAGATATATAATGGCAACTGGTTAAGGTAAATGACTTTCGACATTTTGTCGCTTGCTACAAACAAATTTAATTCGAGGTATCACCAGTCCGTACCTTGTCATAATGTTAAACTCATGACGTATTTTTCAAATATAAATTGCCATAATACATTTATAAATTATTCAGAATCGTCTATTTGCGTGCCCTATTTCGTTTGTTTTTACGGAATGAGATTGCTTAAACTCTGTCATGCATAACATTATAAAAAACAGATAAAAAAGAATTTTTTTTTAGAAAAACATCTTTAAAAAACATTTTTTTTAAAAAAGTTTAAATTTGGTTTTAGAAAATTTTTAAATTTTTTTTAAACACCATCCCCACCAAAACTCGGGAAAAGTGTTCTTTTAAAAAACCCCCGGATTTGGGCAAAGCCCGTCCCCAAAACTTTCTCCCATTTTAAACGTCGACGTCATTTTTGACTTCATAATGTCCCTCCGGGACATGTCTTTTTTTAATCTTGGCTGTTCTCTTTTTTAAATTTTTATAGCTTCTTTTTTTTCCTTTCCTTTTATTTGATAAGCCATCGGGGTTTTGATTCTGGAACGAACCTTTTTAAAGCACGGGAAAAAATTTAAATTGTTTTTATTTAAATTTTTTTTTAAGGATATTTTAAAATAAAAGAAAAATTTCATAAGGCTTTTTTAATCTGCATGCTTCCATATGAGTCAAAAAAAAGTCAAAAAAATTAACATTAAAGGAAAATTTTTCAAAAAAGGAAAATATATCCACTTCCCTGCCTGTCCCAATGAACGATTTTAATCTTTTAAAAAAAATAAAACCTTTTTTCAAAAAATTTAAAAATTTCAAAGACTTCAAAAAAATTTAAAAACCCCCAAAAACAAAAATTTAAACCCCCCTTTTAAAAAATAACTCATTATTAAAAAATTAATTTCAAACCAAATAATTTTTTATCATAAACAAATCATCCCTTTAATAATTAACACAGAAAACTAAAGGAAACGGGGATTAAAACAATCAAATTTTTAAAAAAAACTTCTTATTTTTTTAGCATGCATAAAACAAGTTGAAATTTAATTTTGCTTTTTTATTATAAATCATAAGGAAAAACAAGGTACAATACACTTAGCGATATGTTCGGTCGAACAAATGTTTCTCCTTAATATGATATTTAATATAACTCGGCTTTTTTACAATATGAAATATGGCATTTATTACCACCAGAATGACAGATAGAGAATGCACGGGATCGCGCTTGCAAGATTCACCCACTTCCAATTTCGCGCCAAAAACCCTGTCAACGCCACATAACAGACGCCAACAGCGAATAATACCGGAATAAACAAGCCTGGCCATATTCTCTTAGATATTCCTACCATTTCCATACCTTTTAATAAAAAAAGTAGTTTATCTAGTCAAAATTTGAAACAATGCTCTTTAAACATTGAAGCACGGGTCTCTGAATTGCCTGTCCAATATCCTAACCATTACAACACGGTCACGGTCGTTTTTTATTTCTAATTGACGCGTTATTTATGCCATATCACTTATAAATATCTATTTTCCGAACAAATGGTTTCAGAATTTGGCATTTCAATTGTTAATTTAGATACTTGATAATGAAGCTTTCTTAATGCGGAAGTAGCACTAACTACATATATACATAAATTTCTAAACTGCTACCAAAATGGAAATACTGATACTCACTTATGACAGCGACAGCAACAAAGGCACCATGACCACTTCCGCCAATTATAAACTGCAGGACAGCAAACGAATAGAATTCTGGGGTGAAGGTCACAGACACGGATGATATCAGCAGGAATACCAGGGCTATATACATACTCTTTTGACGACCGAGTCTATACCAGAAAAACAACAAATATATTTCGTGCACATAAATGTAAGATAACACAACAATGAAGTCATCAACATCCAAAATGATTATGTCAAGTGATATTGTAAATCTATAATATAGTCAAAGATTTTATAATTTTAGTTTATTTCTGTCACTTGACTTATCAGCGTCATTGACCAAACAGTGCTATTTTAAGACCATATACAAACTCGAACATATATAAACTCGAATTTTTCTTTACCCCCTCGAACCTATGTAGACTCGCATCTATACAGACTCGAACCTACGATTCTAGAGTTTGATAAGCAGAAGCTGCCAGATACCTCTAACCCGGCTTGGAGCTTTATTAGAAAATGTTCCATGTATCGGAGTTGCTCATGTATAATGAATGTGAACTCAAAACGTAAGAGTTTATATAGCAAAATGACTTACGAATCTGACAGCATACCGAGTATTAAGTCACCAACTAACAGACCAAAATAGAAAAACATCATAATGTGGGATGTTTTCAACGAATCCCTGCATACTAAATTTATCTGAAATCGAAAGGGGAGTAAAAGAGTAAAATAAGATTTATAGCAATTATAATGTTGTTAATATATTTACAAAAAATGTGGTGTTTATTTATTAATTTATTAATTTATTTATTTATTCATTTATTCGTTTATTCATTTATTCATTTATTCATTTATTTATTTATTTATTTATTTATTTATTTATTGTATATGCCATTGGTGATGCATTTATTATATAGAGTAATATAATATCATGTAATTTTAAAATCCCACTGTTAAACCTCTTTTTGTAAAACGTGCCAGTCACGTGTCATCCACGTTGTACTTCACTTGTTTGCGAGTTTAAATTTATACTTACACTTAGTCAAGAATTGACAATAATCAAGTATTAACATCTTATCATATTTATTGGTTTTCTTAAAGACGCATTATGCCTGAGAAATCAATAATTTCTTCATTCTTTAGAAAGTTTAAAAACACATGTTTAATAATGTTCTATTAATGGATTTATGACATGGTAGTTGTTAAACAACCGAAGAAAGTTGCTCTGGGTCCTAGCCTTTTTGCAGCGACTTAAATTCTTATTATTATTTAGGGCACTATGATTATTTTTCTATACTGTTTTACAGTTTGTATCAGTTTTGTGAATGATTACCTGAGATGTAAACGTACTTGTAAACACACTTTTATCATAAACCCACTCCGTGCACATCACGCGACTCGCATTTGCCGCGTGTAATGAATTTCCGTCTGTGACGTAAACATGGCATCTGTCGTAAGGTTGCGTCGGGTCACTAGAGAGTGGTATGGTCTCATTGATAAGACGCCGGTGGTAGTCATTTTGAATTGCATAACTGTCGTTTGACAGGGACGGTATTTTACATCTGAAATATATACATTACCCTGACCTCAGTGTCATTTTCATGGGATAAAAAAAAGAATAGAAAAATATCATGAAAAAAAATACAATTTGTACTTTTGTGCCCAATAACACTTCCATATCTTTACATTGATATCAATTTTATTGTTTATGAAGACTTCTTTGAAATACTGTATTATTGCAGTGTATTTGTACACTGAATTTGGCAGTAAACACCTTGTTGAAGATATTCACTGCATGGACTACTCAATCTCACAGTCAAAGTTACGCATGTTTCTTTCATACGTTGCAAAAAAAGCCATCGATTTCCTGAAGGTTACACCATCAGGTGGACTTTAACCCAGGACTATAAATTCGCTTGAAGAAGGTGGAAAGCTCATAGTCTCAGTCGCTGATAATTGGGAATAAAACGATATTTGTCTATTTTGTGATCATGATTTCTGCAAGCGTCTGGAGGTACTGCTCCAGTCATGTATCGACTTTAATCTATTTCTTTTTATTTTGTTCCGATTAAAATCGGACAAATATTGCTTTTATATTCAAATATATGCGGCAGTTACATGTATACATTAAACATATGTAAAGTTTAATAAATTAAAAAATATTATTGGACTTTTAAATTTGGGAAGCCGTGTTATTAACGCGGTTATTGTTGATGTGCAGATGTCTTCAAAAATCCTTCTAAACAATGTTTTTAAATTTTATATTATGTGCGACCTTCAACGTGAAGATCGTGCTAAAGTCCTCTGTAAAAGTTAACATATGATGCAGCTCACACATTTATTATTCAAATCATTGAGTCTAGATTACGCTGCATGTTTTAAAAAAGCACTATATGCACATGCTTTTGAATTAATTAATCAAACAGACATTTATTTAGCCCATGCATTTAAATTTCAAGTTATTTTCTCCCCTATTTACACAGAAGTAAACAAATGTACACAAACACGATTAAAATTTACATTTTATATTCATTTTGCATTTAATTCAAACATTTTTTGAACGCTTCTAATCATACAAATAATATAATATTATTTTTCACATAAAGTTGGAATAAGTGTATTGCAGTAGATGTATTTCAGAGGACATATACAAATCATGGCGACGATTATTTCACATTCTCCGTTATTCGCGAAACCTTAAACCTTATGTATTTGTGTTCCGGTGTAAGAAGTATGACTGTATATGCAAAAGTGCAATAAGTAAAGTATTAAACTATTTAACTATGTTCCACGTTACACAGTAAGACGGTGCCATGAACAGTGTCATAAGACAGTATTGGACTGGTTACCTGTGTTCCGGTGTATACAGTATAACAGTGTTTATAACGTTGTAATTAGTAAAGTATTGAACTTGTTACCTGTGTTCCGATGTTAACAGTATAGCAGTGTTTATAACAGAGTTATTAGTGAAGTATTGAACTGGTTTCCCGTGTTCCGGTGTATACAGTATAGCAGTGTTTATAACGGTGTAATAAGTAAAGTTTTGAACTGGTTACCAGTGTTTTGGTGTAAACTACATATAACAGTTTCCAGTGTTCCAGTGTATACAGTACAGCAGTGTTTCTAAGGATGTAGTTTGTATAGTATTGAACTGGTTTCCAGTGTTCCAGTGTATGTACATTATAGCAGTGTTTATAACGGTGTTATCAGTAAAGTATTGAACTGGTTACCTGTGTTCCGCTGTATACAGTAAAGCATTATGTGTAGTAATAAACTGGCTACCTGTGTTCCGGTGTATACAGTATAGCAGTGTGTGTAGTAATGAACTGGTTACCTGTGTTCCGGTGTATACAGTATAGCAGTGTTTATAACGCTGTTATAAGTAAAGTAGTGAACTGGTTACCTGTGTCCCGGTGTATACAGTATAGCAGTGTTTATGACGGTGTTATAAGTAAAGTATTGAACTGGTTACCTGTGTTCCGGTATACACAGTATAGCAGTGTTTGTAACGACATTATTAGTGAAATAATGACATGGATACCTGTGTTCCGGTGTATACAGTATAGCAGTGTTTGTACCGGTGTTAATAGTAAAGTATTAAACTAGTTACATGTGTTCCGGTGTATACAGTATAGCAGTGTTAATAACGGTGTGTTTCGTAAAGTAATGAACTGGTTACCTGTGTTCCGGTTTATACAGTAAAGCAGTGTTTATAACGGTGTTATTAATAAAGTATTGAACTGGTTACCTGTGTTCAGGTTTATACAGTAAAGCAGTGTTTATAACGGTGTTATTAATAAAGTATTGAACTGGCTACCTGTGTTCCGGTGTTTACAGTATAGCAGTGTTTTTAACGATTTTATAAGTAAAGTATTGAACTGGTTACCTGTGTTCCGGTGTATATAGTATGACAATAAGCATCAGAAACTTCCTACACTGATGCACGGGAACGCTAATAGCGAGAAAATTATTTTCTGGTATTTTCCAAATTCTCCAATCTGTGTTAAAGATATACTATGCTCAAATTTGATATTAGGAATTATTGGTTATTGCTACACAGTCTCTTTGTAAATATAAAATAAACATGTTTTGACTTCACACAAAGTAGATATTTTATGTTTAAAACTCTACACACTATAAGTGGTCACAATATGAATATATAGTGTCGTTAAAAAAACTGGCAGTTTTTTTAAGAAAATACCAACTTTACTTGTCCTGTAGAAAGGAACGCGACTTCCAATACATAGTTAATTCGTTTTATTATTCAAATTAGACATATTCAGTAAGGATTTCATAGGTTTTAACAAATTTCTTTGATTAAAATATTTTACTCAAAGATGAGCATAGTATATCTTTAAAATTTCGTCAAACTTCATTTTTGATGTTTATATATTTATTTTAACTTTTAACATGTGTGAATTGTTTTATCAAGAATATTGTCAGTTAACAATATAAGATACTTTCATTTCAACTACAATCTAATAATATAATATTCATGAGCATGTTAAAATATCAGTGCAAGGACTTTAAAGTAGTTAGTTAATTTCAAGGCATTATTCAATAGCCTCTTAAACAATGGTAGGACACTACGTCACAGCGCCCCTGCAAAGTGCTCCTAATCGGACAGGTTTTACTTTGTAAACACCCCGTTTACTCGTCGTTAGAATATCAAAAAATAATATACGCACCAAAGATTGGCTAATAATTTTAAAAACGTTTAAAGTTTTACTGCTAAGTTTAGTCACAAAGGTGACATGTGTATGTGTTTTTATTTATCTCGTGCGTACGAGATACTATGTCGTCGCCACGAGTTACTAAGTCGTGGCCACGAAATAGCTAAGTCGTGACCACGAGTTACTAAGTCGTGGCCACGAGAAAGCTAAGTCGTGGCCATGAGATACTATGTCGTGGCCACGAGTTACTAAGTCGTGGCCACGATATAGCTATGTCGTGGCCACGAGTTACTATGTCGTGGCCACGAGTTGCAAAGTCGTGGCCACGAGATAGCTAAGTCGTGGCCACGAGTTACTAAGTCGTGGCCACAAGATAAATAACCAATCAGGTTACACCATTTATATGAATTTCCCTAATTAACTAAACATGTGCTATAGTACATGGATGCCCCTACTTCACCATCCTGTAAAAGTGTCATTTATACAACTTATTGACTGGTCAATGATTTTACATTTAGCGTCATTCTGACCCTGATTTTTGATTCAATTACCTCGAAAGTATTTAATGTCATCTACTGATCATGTGCAATGATTATGAAACGGTTTGTAGTACACGCCAGAAAAGCCGGATGGGAAAGATGATTTGAAGAGAGTGAGTTTAATTACTCGATTTAAAGACTGTTAGGATATCACCTAATTTAAATACATTTACTAGTTCACTATTTAAAATTCATTAATCAGATTATCTCACAGTATGTATTTTGGAACAAGCTATGCAGCTTATTAGTTAGTTATTAGTTATTCTTAAAGGCACTAGGATCTAATATAACTTAACGTTTGTTCAATACAAGGGAAGTAATCGTTGATATCTTCCTCAAGAGAATAAACATGTGTTACAGGGATTGTGTGTAATTAGGTAGTTCAAATAGTCCCTGAACGTTTTTTTAATGGTTTTATGAAATCAGCAAATGTGTCCGAGAACAAACGTAATCGAGATTAATTAATTAAATTTGTTGGGGTTTTTATCCATTTTACACTAACATGTATCTGAAATAAAGACATATTCTTTTTGATATTTAATCATCACACTAAAATTAATTTTTACACATATTGTAACTGTTGACGATATTCACAAGAGAAATGTAGCCTTTTGATTTTTCACCAAAAAATGTCGGCGTAAATGGTTAATTACGAATGTGTGATTTTATCTCGATAAATAAACTAAATATTGAACAGGCGTTATACCATCAGTATTTGAATTTGTCTCAAAAGCACAACTAGATTTATTTCATGCGATTTTTGAAACATGGGATTTGTATGACGCAAGTCCTTTGACTTTGAATGTTCCTCTTTATTCGCTGAATGCCTTTAATGTATTTGTCCAGCTTTCATTTTTGGAACTGTCCATTATTAGTTAATTTTTGGAATATCACATTTCAAACTAGTAAAGAGCCTGTTCAGACTGTATGAATGTAAAAACTAATTGAGCCGCGCGTGCCTTGACAAAACTAAAATGGTGCGTTTGCGACCAGCATGTATCCAGCCGTGCAGTCTGATCAGGATCCATGCTGTTCGCCATCAGTTTCGCTACTTGTAATAGAGTTTGAAAGCGAACAGCATGGATCCTGATCAGACTGCGCGGATGCGCAGGCTGGTCTGGATCCATGCTGGTCGCAAACGCATTACGTTTGTTTTGTCATGACGCGGCTCAAAATATGTTCACTGTTCACAATGATTTAGAAGTTAACAGTTGATATTTAATAACCAGCCAGTTGTATTGCGTTTCAAACAAAGCCAACATTATGAATGATAAAGAGAATTATTTTCAATAACTTAGGGATTTTGTGCATGAAAATACGAGATATGTCTATGCATGACATATATGCCTCTATAGGTAATTTGTTAATGATGTAAATATGTTACAGCTCATATTGTCATGTTATTCAGGAACTGAGTATTAAATAAACTTGTAAACTTGTTATTACTGGAAAAAGTCAGGGTTTCATGAAATTCTATTTTAGCCATAGGGAGCTGGCACAGTGTTTGGATAGCATATAAAATGCTAATTTGAACACCTAAGCACACTAGAATAAAAAATTTCTTACATCACATATTATATATACAAGGGGTGGAAGAGCATTTGATATGCTATCTAAACACTCTGCCGACTCCCTGTGGTTTTAGCCAGTGACTAAGCCGCTAAATCTATGTACCTATAAACCCTGATTACACATTTCCCCTGTCTCGGGTGTAATCGCAACTTTTCGGCCCTTTCCGTCAGTCTTCGGATAAGGATTATTATTATAGATAAAAGCCGAGGATGTTCCGATTGTGTCTGACGGTACGTGTTTTAATGAGAAGGAACACGACAAAAACGAGGACTCATAAATACTTTTCTTTGTAGAGAGATTTGTTATTTGTTGTTCTAAGCCGATGTTTTGAGTTCAAATCCCACACAGAGATGGGGTTTTGATGCAAACTGATTATCAGGATCAGCTCTGAATTCTGAATTTAAATGAATTCTGATGAATTGTAAAGGCGTTGTTAGTAGTTGAAGCATATTTGAGCCGCTGTGTGCCCGGTAATTCTGGTAAAGTAACACGAAGTCCTATCTTAAGAATCTTACTTCCGCTGGCGTCTAGGTGTCGCTTCTGAAAAAGGCGGGAATTAACAGAAAAACAAACACTGTTAAACTTATCACAGATACTTTATTTGTGATCAACACAATATCACATCGTCATGTATAGTATATATAAGAATCACAGATAATTTTATAGCAGCATTTTTTCTATATTTACATTTAACTCATTTTACGTCATTTCCACTTCACAAAATTGATTAAAAATAGAAAGATTCTTATCTTCAAAACTGTTTAATGATGGTTATCACAAAAGGATTGTATACTTTTAAAGGAGAAGATATAAGACCTTACATGCTATTTGTAGCCTGCAAAGAATACATAAAAAAAATTATTTCCTCAAAAAATCAAATTGTTAAAGGCAACTCGATGTTATGAAACAAGCTAAGACAGCGTAAATTAGGCACAAGACATAAAATAATATCCTATAGTAGAAGTTTATGTTCTACATCGTCCGACGTCATTAACTTCTTGACTATAGCATGGTTAAGCGAAACGTCAAGGGAGGTAATTTAAAGTCACCATTTCAGTAAGAATTTAAGATACATAAAATAAATATAGTTGATTCTTGAATTAACACAATTACATCAGATATGACATGTGCATTTACAAACATACATTGCTGTGTGCAATATTATAGTTATTAAACCAAGCAAAGCAAATTTTGAGAAAAACAAATTAAAAAAAACAAGTATCTTCAACAGTTAATTATAAATAAAATATCATGTACATTACGATGAAAATTGCTATGACATATATTTGTCAAGTGTCTGGATGAAACACAATAACTGAGATATTTTTTGAAGCAATAAAAAATGAAATAGAAATTGTAAAATTTTCCTCAGAAAAAAAGATGTATTTCAACGAAAACAAAATCAATAACCAAAACACTTCAAAGTAAATAGGTCCGGGGTATTTTACATAGATCTGTGCTTTAATATATTTGCATTTTTTGTTCCGAATTTTACCATCACTAGAAACCACCTATTGATCACGGCCTCCTGGCTATACTGACCACCTTGATATCATGATCATCTAGCTAGCACGATCTCCTGGCTATCACGGCTCATTTTTTCTGTTTACAAAAATACCAATCCTTTCTTTACAAACTGGGAAGTGACGGCATTGTTTTAATATCATCTTAAAGAGTGTTTTTATTTTCTGTTGTCCTAAATGATTGAGCGTTTTTTTTTCTGTCTCGAGCTTTTGAGAAACGCTAACGAGACGGAGGTTATAAATAGTAACATGAATATTAAAGAAAGCATTTTAAATTAATGACATATTCTTAATTTTATGCAATAACATAAACCAAACATTCTGTAAGTGGACGGTAACAAGTAAACATAAAAAATAAACATAAAATAAATATTTTTAAAGAATAACAAATATACACATTTAACAAAAGTAACAAGAATATCTACAGTATAAATAATACTATGGAATAATATAAGATCAACAACAACATGTACCGCCTAAGCAATAGATAATGATTTCAAAATTTACATCAATATTACATCATTCTTTTGTTTTGCTAAAAACAACTAAAATATATGAAAAATGAACCCATATTATTTTCAAAAATTAGTTACGAAGTATAAAGAACCAATGTTAATTTCATTAAAAGACTGTGGCATAAACAAACAAAAATTATAATAAACTTAACAATTTAAATTTTGCTCTAGTTTTTACGTCATTTTGATCGAAATATTGTTCCAAATATGGAAATTTATCCCAAATGCATCAATACAAAGCAGAAAACATTTTAAAACTTTAAGATATTGTCTACATGGCAGTGCCAATCATGTTTGTTTCAGTACAGTACCATAACTTAACATAAAGTGTCAGTTCTGTGCCAGCACATACTGTGACAAATA